AGCCTGAGGCAGACTGAGGAGGGTGAGACATTGCACCATGAGCTTCTGCCCAAGAGCCATCAGATCATGTAAACACAGGTGGATTTCATACAGAGACATTGGCTACCTTTGTGCTGCACCACCTCTTCCAGGGTGGTGCAGCACAAGGTAGCTGGGAGACTCTTCCAGGATCTCAAGGGCTTTATTATCATGGATGAAAGGATATAGATTCACCCTGAAATAAAAGAGAACCTTGTGGAGCAAAATCCTTTTTTATTATTGTAATTAGGATTCATTCTGGTGTAGGATACAAGCCATGCACCTCTTTGGGATGTTTGGAGTGACAATTTGTTTAAAGCTTCTCTCATACTACACAAGACAACATATGTGTTTATGTTATGAACAATTGCTGCAAATATTTGGATGCATGAAATTATTCCTGTGCTTTCAGGGAACCACAGAGAAGGCAAGGGAAGAGCTGAGACTTAGTACTTTAGGTCCCAGGTCATACCTTAGAGCAATATCATTTATCACTTACCACCTCTGTATGAAATCAGCATAGATGTAAAATGGGATCAGCATTGTAGCTAATCATAGCCTAGGCCTGTATCTTAATTAAAAGACATTATTCTTCAGTCTTAGGACTTAAGAGACTGATTAGAGTATTAATTAATGAATTGTGGGCGGTGGGTTTATTTTCTGGAAAGCCTGTGGAGCTGATGACAAAGGAGGCCAAGGAATAGAGGAGCCATTTGTTTAAATAACTGAAGTTATTTTTAATAATTTTTCTGTCCTTTGCTTTTAAAGACACCATTTAAGGCTGGCATGTTTTTCAGTACCTCTCTCTGCTCTGCTCGGCAAGCAGACGAGTTGAAAGAAAAGTGTAAAGGAGATGATGCATGGAGTGACCTGGCGTCAGTGAGCCTCTAGCAAACTTCCTTCTTACTAATAGAAGTTTGTCTCCTTCCCTGCTTTGTGTAGAGTGCTGCTGGGAGTACCCTGTTTGGCACCTTCATCCAGGGCCTCTTCTCATTCTTTTGGGGTTTTTTTTGTTTGGTTGGTTGGGGTTTTTGTTTGTTTTTTGTTTGTTTGGGTTGGTTGGAGGGGTTTTTGGGTTGTTTTTTTTTTTGGTGGTTTTTTTGGGGTTTTTTTTTTTTGGTTTTTTAGTGTTTTTTTGTTTGTTTGTTTGTTTGTTTTGTTTTGGTTTTTTTAAGGGATTTTTCTGTTGTTGTTTTGTTTTTTGGGGTTTTTTTTGCTTTTAACTTTTTTTGTCAGGAAGGTTTTGTGTCTACTAGCTTGGGCCTGAAAGAAGACTATTTATGATCTTCTGCTTTTCTGTGTTTATTTTTAAAATCATCACTCCACCTTCCATACAAAATTGTCTTATTCAGCTAGAAAAGCAACCTGCTAGAACTATTTTTTTCATTATGATAGTCAGGTTCCTCTAAGAGTAATATTTAACACTGCTGTAGGAAGAGAGTAATTTTTGGTTTGAATGCTTTAACTGTCTTCAATGTTAAGGTGCAGTTGAAAGTTTTCTTTTTTAATTTTTTTTTTTTTTTTTTGTTTGGGTTGGTTTGTTTGTTAGTTTTTTTTGCTTTTAACTTTTTTTGTCAGGAAGGTTTTGTGTCTACTAGCTTGGGCCTGAAAGAAGACTATTTATGATCTTCTGCTTTTCTGTGTTTATTTTTAAAATCATCACTCCACCTTCCATACAAAATTGTCTTATTCAGCTAGAAAAGCAACCTGCTAGAACTATTTTTTTCATTATGATAGTCAGGTTCCTCTAAGAGTAATATTTAACACTGCTGTAGGAAGAGAGTAATTTTTGGTTTGAATGCTTTAACTGTCTTCAATGTTAAGGTGCAGTTGAAAGTTTTCTTTTTTAATTTTTTTTTTTTTTTTTTTTTTTTGGTTTGGGTTGGTTTGTTTGTTATATCACCCTAAGGAAAATGAGAAAGGAAATTCTATTTAGATTTACAGCATTTGGAGGATAAACTAGGACAAATAAGATTCACATTCACTGCACTGTTAATATTCAAGTGTATATGTATAATATTTTTTTTTACCAACCTGCCATACAGCACTCAGGTGCTATAAACTCAGTACAGTGTTTCCCAATCCATTTGGTTTTGGAGAGCTGTGAGGAGGCAGAAGCCATTGGTATTATGGTAGTGACTCCAAGAGCAGTGTTGTGCTCTTTTCATTTGAAAGCTATTCTGTCTGTACTGTCAAATGATCAGTTTTAGAGCTGCTTTTTAAAAGCTGTTTATCAACACAGCTGTTAAGGGATTTATACCACATTAGTGTACACTCACAATGTGCAGGTCTGAAATAATTTTTCAATATTTTTCCTTTCAGCACATAAAGCAGTGGATTCATCTCATATAACTCCAGTCTTCAAAATGAGGTATCTGGAATGGGAATATAGGAGCTACATTCAGTAGGGAGTAAAAGGGAAGGGTTTAAATTTCATAAAGTAGAGACCAGCAGCCGACTCAAAATTAAATCTTTTAAGAAGGTTAAGATATGGAGGAGTCAATTTCAGCACTCAAGCTTGAAGATTAAATTTAAGGGCATGCAAATCAAAATGCTTCACTGTGGTTCTAGCCAGTATTGAACAGAAGTGTAGGATTCATAGATGGGGCAGGGTGGCCACGTTCTTCCATTGTTTTAGATAACTCAACTAAGGTGCTGGTGGTAGTCTAACTACCACCTGGTAGTTAGAATGGCTAGTAGCTGGCTCAGTGCAATTTGGGAAACCTGTATAATTACGTGAGATTTTAGAGGAATCCTGAGCACAACATAGCATGAGACAGGCCATGGTGATGTGCTAGAGAAATTTATCATTGAGTGAAAGTCAGAGTCACAAAGGTTGGATGTTCATTTCTGTTTTAGTGATGGAATGAAATACAGAAATGTGACCACCAGCATCTGACCTAGTTTACTGAAGAGTTACCCAGCCTAATTACTGGTCATTCAGTGTGGAAAATGTGGGCAAGAATAATCTTCTTGGAGTTTTTATGTCTGTCTCCTGAATAGATAAGAGCTGTTCATAGAATGATTTTAGCTAGTGAGATGAAGAAATCTGCTCAGTATACTGTAACTCTTTCAGTTTCAAAGGAAAATGATTAAAAATAACAGAAAGGAATTAATGGCTTGTAATCTAAGGCCCCAAAATATACTAATCTAAATGTAGACAATAGCTTATTGTCTGGTATTCTTCTGAAATATGATGCTGTTATTCTATTTTGTCAAGTGTTTATCAAGAAACATATTTGGACTGTGTTTTGCATTTGTGACTTTTTAAGCCTTCTGTACCTAATTCATTACTGCCAGGGTGGAACTTTACTATACACAAGATGTATTTCTGTATTTGCTTTCATTTATGATTGACTGAAATTCAATGTGTTATTCATATATATAGCACAAAAAGTGGTTGGACATAGATAAGCAAATTCAATAATTCTGAAGACATCTTCAGAATCTGGACTTATATAACACATTGCAGGCTTGTGACACTTACTCTGATCAAGTCACTTACTGAACTGTCAATTGAGACTTGTCATGATACAGGCTTATCTATTATAGGGCCACAACTCTAGCATAATTAAAGAATTAATTGTGTCATTGTTTCTGTATTTATTTATTTATCTACTTAATTAAGGCTATGATTTTCTCAAACATTATCTAAGAATCTTTTGATTAACTTCTGTGGGCTCAGGCCAGACTGAAAATATTTGAAAATATCAATACTTGGGCACAAATTTGAAAATATCAATACTTGGGCACAAATTCCAAACCTAGTTTTTTAGAGCAGTAAAAAACCCTAACCAACCAAGCAAGTCAAAAACCTTCCTACATAATGTGTTCTCCTTGAATTAGATAACTATGTCCAGTAGAAACTGGATTAGTTCCCATATGTCCTAGTGGAGGTCTGAAAAGACAAGTATCTGTGTTTTCAGGGCAGTTATTCTGTTGTGCAGTTATATGTTGCTGTAAATTTAAGTTGGGCATTTACTCCTCATTTCAGGCTTCTGTGGGCTTCTAATAGTGTTTTCTTTTTGAAGCAGCAGTAGGGTGCTTGTACAACAGCTTCTCTGAGAGATAGTTGGTGTATGTTGTGGTAACAGATGAAGCCTACTTAGGGTAATATGGTCTTACAGTAATGAGAATTATTATTCTGCATTTTATAAAAGAAAATAAAACATTAAAGGGTTTAAATCAGTTGTTTGGAAAAATTACTTATCGTCATCAGAGATTTGCTTGAATCTCTAAAAGCTGTTTTGAGATTTAGAGCTGTTACTGAAATTATGGGGGAAAAAACCTGAAATACGTTGCCTGAACACTTCTCAGAATCAAGTCAAAAGATGCTTGCAGGTGGGTAATACCTACCCTGAAATGCTGACCAAACTGACTTGTCAGGAATGTGATTCCAGGAGTGCATCTTTCATGGTGTTTTGACTGAAGTCAGGAGTGCAGAATTTAATCTGCTTTTCATACTTTCATTTACATCAAGTGATTTTGGTCCACATGAACTGCATGTCAGGAGCTCATGTTTCACTGTTCAGATTTGTCACTACTGGTCCCCAGCACTTTTTTGTGCTAAAGGCAGTGTGGCCTTTAGTAGTCCTGCTGCATTGAAGGTCAGATGAACTGAACTTCAAATAAGGAGTCAGTTAGCTAGAGAAGGGACCCAACTTCTTTCTTTGTATTAGAGATCAAACTAGTGACATGAAGTGGCAACTTACCTGGAATAAAAAAAGAAATTTCTGACAAACATTTTTTAAAAATACTGTTTGTCACCTTTTTTATGAGGTTTTTCAGTTTATAGTTGTCCCTTCTGTTCCTAGTGGGAGAAAAAAAAAACTGAAACAACACAAAGAGACAGCACCACCAAAAAAATATTAATCTATAGCAGTAATTCTCTTTTAGTGTTTAACACCTTGATAGATACAGTAACTGGATTAATGGCTATTGTTCACAAGATACTTTACTTTTCTATTTTTCTTGTTTGATAGGTGATATATGCCCTGAACACTAAGAATGATGAACATGAGGACAGTATAGAGGCTTTGAGAGAGGCTCATGAAGAAGAAATTCGGAATATTCTTGCTGAGACAAGAGAAACGATTCTCCAGTGTAAAAGCAAAGCTGAAGAAGAGCAGTTACTGAGAAAGCATATTCAGGCCCTTGAAATTGCAGTAGCACAACATAAGAGATTGAAGGAAGAAGCTTTAGCAGAGTTAATATTGTGTAAAAAGCAAGCAGAAGAGAAGGAGTCAAGAACAGAAGAGAAACAAGCACAGACGGGCCTTTCTACAGACACAGTAGACACCACTGCAGACTTTGAAAACAAACTTCCACATTTAAATCAGGAGCTTGATGGACTGCTAAATGAGTGCAAAGTATTTAGAGGAGAAAATCTAGATAAAAAAGTAAATTTAGATGAAAAATGTAGTGTGGAAAGGCACATTGTAATGAATGAGATACAAAACCTGAAGAGTGAGAACCAGAAAACATATGAAGAATATACTCAGCAAACAAGAAAACTGCAAGCCCCATGTGAGATACAAAAAGAGACTTTGAAAATAGCTATGCAGCAATCTGTGATAGAAGCAAACTGTGAACAAGGAGAAACAGAGCAAAAAAAGAGCTCAGAGGCTGAGGAAGGTTTTTTGCTGCAGCAGGTAAAGAAGCTGGAGGCAGACCTAGAGGAGAAAAGCCAGAAGATAAATGAGAGGAAGAAGCATTCCCAGAAGCTGAAGGAGCGGATACAGGTAGAGTTAATCCATATCTCTGCCTGAGAAAATGAAAATTATCAATTCTTTAAAATTTGGGAGAGGAGGGCCTTTTACAGATCATGTTGATTCAAATGCTTTTTAAGTAGTAAAGCAGTTTTAGAGGCTTAGAATGGAAATAGGAGTGATATAATGCTGGCATTTTTAAAGATAGAGTTAAGATGATTAGTAACTCATTAGGAGAACACTTTGAACACTATAATTTGTATTCCTTGAGGGAGGAATGAAGTAAAATTTATCTGTTGCCTGAAGAAAGTTTTACCTTTTTTGCCCGGCAATGTGGCGGAACAGCACACAGGCACTACTGCTACCAATGAGTGTTTGTTTACAGAGTACATTCTCCTTTTCCCTTGTGGTTGCCAATAGCTCAATGCATGGATATAAAGAGGGTTAGATATGAGACCTGAGCTGGCAGTTTAGGAGTCAAGTGTTTTGTATAACTCTTGCAGCAATGGCTTGTACCAGGTGCCATTTAATGAAGTGTCCTTTACACTTGTGAAGTTTTATGTGCTGAGCCATGTGACTTTGGCCTTTGGTTTTTGCACTTTGCGCCTTGCACTTCGCCTGCCCACCCTCACTGCTGTGTATCTCACACATTTGCAGCACAGCTCAGCAGATCCTTCCTGGTTGCATCATGTGTCAGATGTAGTTTCAGAGGTTGGCATGTCATGGGAAATCTGCCAAACAGCTGCTTTTGGTACATAAGGTCAGAGTGCAGGAGAGATGCTGATGCACAGTGCTGACATTGAAGCACCCAGCCATGCTCTGTGCTCATCAGTTCAACTTCCTTCTGATACTTTCGGTTCTTTACATCACGTAAACTCACCTACCAGACATGCCTCCAGCCCTATGATAGCAATCTTGTGTATTAGATAAGAAAACACCTTGAAAGTCTAGACTTGGAGTATTAGAGAATAACAAAAATTGTTCCCTAATGGGAAAGATTTTCTTCCTTTGGAGGAAGAGAGCCCCAGAATTCTGCAGGGAGCAGGGTCAGCCCAGTCAGCTGTGTTCTTCCAAGGCAGCTCTTAACTGTTTTCACCATCTGCCCTCACATCTTGCTTGCCACTATCATTTTGCTGATGATGCAGAGTTCTGAGCTACTTCTTTGAGGATGTTCTTAGAGGGAGTTCAGTCTTCAATACAGTCCCTACCTCTGTGTTTTACAAGATCAGACGATGAATTGAATACACCTTCCCCAACATTATTCAGATTTCGTTGTCTCAGTGTGTAGATCTGTAGCAGAACAACCTCTATCTTTTACAGAAAAGTGAAGAGGATACAATGAATGGCAGAGATACAGATAAGCCCTTTTTTTAAATTGAGCTCAATCTGTAATATCTTTTTCAGTACTAAAAAGTATCCTGGCTCTGTAGAAGTTGGAAGCATTAGAGGAAAAGAGAGAAAGGAAGATTTTGATTTTTTTTGTGGGTACATTAGGTGACGTTCAGGAAAAATTAAGATTAAACACATGAAAATTTATGTGCATGGTTTACTCTTCTGATTATTGTATAAGATATGCAGTAATTTAGGAACAAATAATGTAAGCTATTACATTATTTGTGGAAGTGGAAGAGGAATTACATTATTTGTAGAAGTGGAAGTAAGAGGATGGTGTCATTAGCAACTTATTTTCTAAATTCAGTTTCAGCTGGATAAAACTGAAATATTTTCTGAAGAACATATGCTCAACTTGTACATTTCAAATCCTCTAAGTCTGTGGAATGAGGCTGATTTACATACCACTGGAGCATATTGCCTTGAATCTTTGAAGAGATACCTTCAAACTAGGATAAATCTGGAAGGAGGGAAAGAGTTAGACATGATGTTGTTTTCTGTTTCTTTACAGTTTGAACAAAAAAAAAATTAAAATTTCTCCTTTCTAAATGGACTATTTCTTATGCCACCATTAAATACATTTTTTCAGACTTCTTTGGACAATGGTAGGGAAGTGGAAACATCTTTTTAATCAGAAACACCTTTGAGCATTAGTAAATACTAGCAGGAAAAGCATTTTTAAGGCTTGAAAGGTGAAAGGACTATTGATTCAACAAGATGAATTTTCCTGTTTTCTCCTTAGTGTATGCCAAGAGGTTTGAGGCTTTAGATGAAAGGCATTGCATTAGTACACATTTATTATTACTGCTGTAAAAGGGAGAATACATAGGCTGACAAATCATTAAGTCTGATCTGTTCAGTCTAGTTTTGGAAGAATTCTGGCATATATGCCAGAGGTAAAAGTAACAACCTTACCTTGAAATGTTACAAACTGTTGTATTTCAGCAACCGAAAAAGCCCTAATTAATATTCATTAACTTTTGGCATAAATTGTCACGAAATTATTAGAAGTATAACCTATTTCAAGTGTAGGATAATCTCAGACATTTTTTAGATGGTAACTATTGATGGGTATTCACTTTACAATGATGCCAACTATGTGTGAGGGAAGGCCTCCACATCACAAGTATTTATTCTGGCATATATGCCAGAGGTAAAAGTAACAACCTTACCTTGAAATTTTGAGCTACAGAGAGTGTTAAATACTGTTAATAAATGAGGTTTTGCTTGACATTCATATAGGAAAAAAAGGCAATTTTATTTGAATGAGTATTGCAGTATTATGCTAGACATCTGAAACTGCAACTAGAACCTCCAGAATAGAATTCTGTATGGTTCAAATTTTTTCCATTAGTTCTGGAAAGACAACTCCCAGCAAAGTCTGGACACAAGAAGTCCCAGCAAAGTAGGACACAATTTTTTCTGAATTTAGAAAAATCTGTATAATGGATTATGTTACAAACTGTTGTATTTCAGCAACTGAAAAAGCCCTAATTAATATTCATTAACTTTTGGCATAAATTGTCACGAAATTATTAGAAGTATAACCTATTTCAAGTGTAGGATAATCTCAGACATTTTTTAGATGGTAACTATTGATGGGTATTCACTTTACAATGATGCCAACTATGTGTGAGGGAAGGCCTCCACAAGTATTCTGGCAGCAGAGACAGTTTAAGGGTATGGAAGAGCAAAAAAAAAGCATTTAAACCAGCTCTGTAGGTGATTTATATCATGGAACACCAAGAGAGAAAATGACCATTTATTTCTCATTACAAGAAAATTGCATATGTAATAAATGTGAAAGTAATGTCAGGCATATTTTAGGATTTGGAAGTGTAGCTTAAGCGAACACAACAAGAAATTCTGGGATCAAAATGTATACTGAAAAAAGAGGAAGATCTAAGTGTAGTCAAAGAGAGAAATTCACATCAAGCAAAGGAAATCCTGCATAAAGCAGGTAAGATACTCATTAATGTCATTCTAAAGTATTTTCCATGTTAGTAGTCACTGATATTGGAAATTCTGCAAGTTATTTATGCTACTTGAAATGTAAATTTTGGTACTACAGAAGATATGGAAGTTACATTGAATTCCCAAAGCAAAGCTGTTACAAAAGTAGATGAACTGAAACATCAAATAACGCAGCTGCAGCAAATGACTTGTACCAAAGAGAGTCCGGAAAAGAGCAACTCTGAAGATGTGCAAGAGCTTTAACACGTGATTTGCTCTCAGCTACTCAAAGGCATGGCATACCAAAAGAACTGAAATCAACGTAGTTTTTTTAATGATTGATGACTTTATTGTACAGAAGTCAATCCTGTAGGATTCCCAGATCCCTGAGCTCAGTCAGTGGAACACTGACTTGTGTTCATAACATGAAGTACCTGAGTTCCTGCAAAGACAGCAAAGGAGTCCTTGGGCTAGACCAGGGCATAGTGTTCAACTGCTTCTGTAACCAAATCCTTAAAGAGAACAATGTCTAAGGCAGACTTTCTCTGCTGAGGTCAAGCTGGAATACTGATTTATTTATTTTTAAATATAGAAAATGGTTATTCTGAAAAGCTGTGCAGAAATGATAGCAGGAATTAACTCAGTAAAATGAGGAATGTGTGTATGCTGAGAGTACCCTCTGTACAATATCTCCCCTTAGGCAACTGTTCAGCCCTGAATCTTTTCTATATTTTTTAGTTCTCTTTAACTATTGTTAAGCTGCCATTTAGGAAAATTAGACTTGGCATCACAGTCAGCAAATCATCTACTCTACTTTTTCACAGGACTAAGGATGTCCTTGAGGGAGTCTGCATGGTTGGAAGTGAGTTACACACCCAAGCTCAAGCCAGAACAGCAAAAAATCCCAAATAATTCCTAGACTGCAGAAGAGGCTTACCATCCTGAATCAGTACAGTTCTACATTTTTTAACTAAAAAAAGCCAATATTTTTCAATGGAGTATTGCCACCTAAATAGTATTTTCACTGCAAAATAGACTACTGTGACCCTGGGGTTTTTTTTGTACAATATATCTAGTGTGTTTTATAGGCTGTGGAAACTGTAGCTGTTTACAAGGAGGGTATGAATAAAAGAAAGAACTTTTTTTGTAAAATCAAGCATCAGTCCTATAAGGAAAAGATTTGTTTGAAGGAATAGCTGTTAAAAGGAATGGTAATCATGTAATGAAGGCTACAAAGGAAATCATGCCAGTCTAAAACTTCATGGAATTGGAAAAAAAAATAGCAGAAGGTAGGAATGTTCTTCTATTTATAGATGCTTTAATTCATCTGGTTTTAATCTTATTGGTTACAGCAACATCATTTGAATTATGCTCACTGTAGGCACTTTGAATTAACACAAAATGCCAGGATGTTCTTGCTACAGAAAGGAGAAAAAAAAAAAAAAAAAAAAGTCAGACTGATTTATTTCTGTGAAAAGCTCTAAAGACAGAAAGGTGAATTTATCCTTGACAGGATAAATGGTCTTCTTAGCAATACTTATCCTTGCATTCTTTGCATGTGGCAATTGGAGTGTTTTATATAAGATCCTTCCTGAAGAAGAATGTATTGTGGGTGTTATTCCAATTTCTGAGTTAAATTTTCATGGATTGCTGCTGTGAAACACTCAGATAAATTTATTTAATCAGAATTTTGTATTGATTAGGCAGAGGATCTAATTCTGCAAAGTGTTGGCAAATTAATTCAGAGTGCATGTGTTACCAATGAAATTACAACTATTTACAATGCATACATGCATACATATATATATACATATATATATATATATGTCCCTATTTAACTTTAGTCAGAAAGAAGGCTCATCTTCTTGTAGATCCAAACAGCTTACCTCAGCAATACCTTTTTCTCAGTGTGTTTTAAGTGTTACTTTTGTTGTTGATATGCATTAGCAGCAATTGGCTTAAGAGATTCTTCAAAGAATTTTGCTTTCATCGGAGCTGCTGTCTGTGACTGAATCCTTTGGCTTTAAGAAACTTGCAGTCTCTAATGCTTTTGTGCAGCAGGAACCTAAACGTGAGCTGAATTCTGTTCAAAGGGAGGGTAACCTTGAAGCAGATGTTTAGTTTTAAGCATGTGCTTTAATGACTAGTGGAGCTCACAAGTCAGTGCATGTCTGTGATTTGCCAAATTTGAGCATAAGCTAAGGGGGAAATTAGGTTCTGACTCCTAATGGACTTCAGTGTTCATCAAAGATCTTCTAGACAGAAAAAGAAGGTTAATTTCAGCCGTTTGTAGAATGGGACAATAAGGCTACTGCTCAAGTGGTTTTTAGACCCTTCTTGGTGCTAAGAATGAACTTCTACCCATTTTCTGCAGTTGACATTGCTATGTCTTTCCGAGTTCAGTGTTTACTTGAGAATAATTAACACTTGCTGACAAGTTGGGAAGTCATAAAAAGCAAGCAGCTGCTGTCCCTAAATGCTGAGCTTCATAGTACCTGCCCAGTCTTGGAGACTAGGAATTTTGTGTTTAGTGCTTGCTAAAAGAATTAATTTCCATGAAACTGCATTTATACATTTTTACAATCTTATTTCTCAAAATTGAACCTGGTTGAGTAAATTATTTTATCTGCTTGTGGAATGGCTCACTTTTCATCAGTATCAGAAGATGCAGTCCTTCAAGATACATAGTTACCCTAGTGAAGCCTCATGGAAATGACTTTGCCTTTTATATACTGTATTTTACTTATTATTAGCTTAGTACATGTATTATTGAAATTATGCCAGGCTGAAGCTCTTCGTGTGCGTCAGATTGAATTTAAGTATCACACACTTCATACTTTAGAAAAAAGGCATACTAGCAGACATTTTTTAAAATATAAATAAATATTATAATAAATATCGTTATTTAAAAATATTATTACTTACAATAATATCTTCTTAGAGATTCATATTAATTTAATCAGAAAAATATTGAGTTAGTAAAACAAATAAAATTACAAATTTTTTCATTATTGATGCTGTTTATATCCTCTTATTCAACTAAGGCCTGTAACAGCTGTTAAGGAAGCGTTATATCTATTTTTCCAGATAGAAAAATTGAGATACAAAGAAAGTCAGTTGACAGAGATGAAGTGGGAACGTTGCACCTGATCTTCATGTTTTAATCAAAAAGACAGTTATATCTGCTCCTTTTTGTACAGGCAAAACTAAAGCTAATTCCACCCTTGCAATATCCTCGTATCTCTTTAATTCCATCCTTTAATTGCTACCTAAGTTTTACATAGGGGTGTGTGAGAAGGAGCTGTACAGGATGGGGGAGGTGTTAAGTAGTTATTTTTTTCCGTTTCCTTCATTTGTAGTGCATGAAGGCACTGTGGAATGTTTTTTGAGTTTGCAAATTTGCACAAATAGGAAGAGCAAGCACACTAATGAATTTGTAATGCATGTCACTTCAGGAAGTTTCTAGAAGTTGCACATTCAGTCTTTCTACAATAAGTAATTGCTAACACTTGCTACAAACAATTGCTACAAGCTCTTGGTCACTGTCTTGCAACTGATGCTCTCATTGATTTTTTTAACTATTTCCAGCAACATGGCAATTTTACAGTCCTCTTTTTTTTATTATTTTATTTTCTTTTTACTTCCTCACCATTATTTTCTTTATGGATGCTATCAGATATTGCTTCCTTTGATTCTCTTTCCACTAATTGCCCATTAGTCATCTTGTTATTTATATGGCCAATGTATATTTATGGTTTTTCAGGTCTTGTGGGTGACTCTTGCATACTAAATAATTTTTGAAGATTAACACCACTCTAGGCAAAACAGTCTGACTCTTCATGCTGTACAGTTTTACACCTTAAGGAAGCTTTCAGTAGAAGATTAGGATAATGTGAGCTGTATTGTCTCACAGTAATATTGGAAAGAAGCAAACCAAACTGTTAATATATTTTAAATTAAATAACACGAGTGACATTAAATGACAGTAGCATGTAATGTTGTGCACACTTCTGTATTATCTAGGTTAAGGTAGAAGAAATGTGTTCTTTTTCATGTTGCATGTTTTGTCCCATCTATTGCATGCTCTTGTCTTTTCTTCTTCTTTTTTTTTTTAATTTTAGGAGCTCCAGACACAGCTAGATGAATTTAAAAGAAAATCCGAGTGTGAACTAAAGCAACTAGAGAAAGAGAAAGAAGTTCTAACTGGGAAACTTCAAAACTCTTCACTTGAGGTAAACTGGGCATAAATATAATGCAGTAATAAAAAGTCTCTTCATTTTTCATCCCATCTGAGAGATTCTGCATTAGATCTTAATGCTACTTGTTTTGTCTATCATTCAATAAAATATGCAAGGACTCCAAATAGAAATAACAGAAATAACTGCTTCTAAATATCTCTGAAGAGTTTGACAAGCCTATTTATTTCATATATTACTCTTTGGAGATGTGCTAAGGTGAGGAGTTTGGCTATAGTAGGGTTGCAGAGTGACTCTGATTGTTTATTTACAAGCAAAATTAGAATCTTCCTTACAACTCCTGTTAACTTTCTGATTTTTTTTTAAAGCATAGAGATGTATCTTCACTGATTCTAACCAATTTCACTTCCCTCAAGTTCAGTGGGAGTTTGCATGGCAACAACTCTGCAAAAGGTGAAGACCTAGATCTTCTTCAGTTGACATTTGTAGCCTCTCAGCCATAATAAATTCTTGCTGAGTATTTAAAGATAGAGAAAGGACAGATAGGACAGATAGGCTCATGAGGAAGCTAAGCAAAACATTGTCCTCCCTTTACTGCCTCCACTTTCCCACATGCCACTACTACCCCTTGGTGTGCATGTTCCAGCAATCAGGGCATGGGTTATGCTCGTTTATGGTAAGCCACACCTGTTTTTTCTCTCATCTGTGCTACACTAGCTGTACTAGTTATGAGTGCAGCATGGGTTTTTCATTTTTATTTCTTCTCTAAAACATTCTGTTAACATACATTCTGTTATCAAGCAGTGACATTCTGACATTCTGTCTATTTCTCAGTCTTACAAATACAGAATTTAAGTGTAGTTTAATGTTCTGAAATTTCTGGCTATTTTAAAGTTTCATTACACATTTCTGCATGCCACTTCTCTGTGAGAATTTTGGTTCAATCCAACCTATGTTGGCTTATTCAGAATGAAAGGTTTATGACATGAAGGTTTATTCCTCAAGTTTTGCAAATGCAGAAAATAAGGTCGTGAATAGTCAAATTACTTTTCTTGAAATCACATGTTCAGGACAGTAAAATATGAAGGAAACTTATGTTTTCTAACTGCTCATCCAGTCGCATCACAAGATCATGGTAAATTGGCAAAGAGTGCTGGAAAATTATTGCCACCACAAACATAAATAATATTAAATAGTACATAGCATGTCATATGTCACATTCACAGAGCCATGGTAAATATGAAGATACCCTAAGAAACATTTTATTGTATCTTAGAATCTGACTGATCTCAAAAAGGGGGAAATGCTACATTTGAAGAGAAATTTTGCATTTTTGTTGATTACTCCAAAAGTTACTTTCTGATCTAATTACTTGGCAATATTGCCAGGGTAGTGAAGTCATTTCAACTTGTAATAGTTTCCTGCTGTAGGTACATGAATATTCACAGCCAAGAAAGCACCATTTACTATATAGTATTATGTTTCACTTAGGGCATGTTTCCCATCTGGGAACCTTTGCAATGGCTCAGCCCAGAGCTTCTGCCTCAGAGGTTAGGCAATGTGCTGTTACTAATCCAGTTCTAACCTGGATACAATTTCAGACCTAAAAATAGCTTCCTTGGCTGCCTAAGACCCGTTTTTGGTTTGGCTGACATAGCTGGAGCATTATGCAGAGTAGACAGAAAAATGATAATTTCATCTCTCTAGGGCTGCACTTCAAACTGGCAGAATTTCTGTATTAATAAGATTTTTATGGATAAAGAAATCAGACTTCATCTGTTTGGTCATTTGGAAGGAAAGATGTGAGATCCTGTGTGGGTTGAATGCTGATTCATTAGGGCCCTCCAGTTCCTTGGTTTTGAACTACAGGATCTCTTCAGCATGTGTTAAAGGATCTTGGTGCCACAACACAAAAAAAATACAAAGCTATTGGAAAGTGTCCAAAGGATGGCTACAGGGATGGTGAAGGGACTTGAGGGGAAGCTGTATAAAGAGCAGCTGAGGTCACTTGGTCTGTTCAGCCTGGAGGAAACTGAAGGGAGACCTCATTGCAGTCCAGAGCTTCCTTATGAGGGGAAGAGGAGGGGCAGACACGGATTTCTGCTCTCCGGTGACCAGTGACAAGACCCAGAGGAATGGCCTGAAGCTGTCAGGGAAGGTTTAGGTTGGATATAGGTTTTTCTCCTAGAGGGTGGTTGGGCACTGGAACAGGCTCTCCAGTGAAGTGGTCACAGCCATCAAACTGACAGAATTCAAGGAGTGTTTGGGCAATGCTCTCAGGCACATGGTGTGACTCCTGCGGATGGGGCTGTGCAGGCCCAGGAGTTGGACTTCTATGATCCCTGTGGGCCCCTTCCAGCTCAGAATATTCTATGTTTCTGTTCCATTCTGGAATTAGAAGATACATAAAATGGAAGTGCAAACATCAGCTTGTCATGATACATCTTCGTATGTGGTTGATGCTTTGCGTGAGGAGGCTCCTTGGATGAGTGAAGAGACATGAATCTTGACTCCATGTTTCAGAAGGCTGATTTATTATATTATGATATATATTATATTAAAATTATATATTAAAGCTATATTAAAAGAATAGAGAAAAAAGGATTCATCAGAAGGCTAGAAAGAACAGGAATGGAATGCAATAACAAAGGCTCCTGACTCCCAGAGTCTGAGCCAACTGACTGTGATTGGCCATTAATTAGAAACAACCAACATACACCAATCACAGATGCACCTGTTGCATTCCACAGCAGCAGATAGTTATTGTTTACATTTCTTTCCTGAGGCTCCTCAGCTCCTCAGGAGAAAAATCCTAGCAAAGGATTTTTCATAAAATATCATAGCTACATTCGTATAATGCCCAGAGTTTCTATGGACCTTGAAGATTCCACCAAATAGCAGCCAAAAATCACAGTCAGAAATTCCTCTGGTCAGGAATTGCCACAAGTTTAGGAATATTGTTTACTGTGAACATAATTGAAGAAACTCTGAAATAAGCCTAAAAAGTCTGTGAAATACCATTTATTTTGTTTTTATTTCTTATGCCATATTACTCTTTATGTTATGTTGGGTAATGTTTGCATCTCTGAGATCACTTTATGCAATTCTGGTAGATAAAAGTGAATTAGTAATGGAATTAAAGTACATTTTTTTCAAGAACTTTTGTTTTGCAGCAGGAGGACATTATAAAACACAAAATCCCAGAGTGTTGTTGCTTTGTTAATAATGAAAACGTCCAAATAGATTCTGGACTGATGTGAGCTGGCAGAGTTTCATTGGCTTAAATGCTACTTTACCAACCTAAGCAAATTGAGGGTCTGGCTATCTGTTTAGAAGACAGGAAGTGCAAAAAATTACTGGGGCACTGCAAAACATTCCAGAGAAGAATTTTCACTGGTGTATTTGAAAACCTTTTTAATTGCAAGACAGGAGGAAGAAACCTGATAGGATGGAATTGTTTGTTTCTTAACCTCTGTTAGAAGTACAAGGATTCATGAGAATGTCGTTGTATGCCTGTACATTTCTTAATAACTGAAAAACAATGGTATTAAAACTACTTTTCAATCTGATTTCTTACTACATTATGTTCCCAGCTTAGCCTGTTTCTAGTTAGTATGATCTTTCATTTCATGTTAGAAGTCCTTTGGGCCATTACTTGTCTGTGAAGAGTTGGGGAAGTTTATAACAACATGACCACAGATGGAGTTTATATAGGCCTCTATTGATCTTTCCTGCCTAGCTGACTAATTTGCTTTAGAAGTATTCCAAGTAATGTTTTTCCTGTTTCAAATTTTTCTATTATAAAATATACAGCCTTTTTTTCTGACACAATTTTTTCAGTCCCTTTATTTTCAGGAAGCCCATAAAAAAATGCATACTTGAGTGTAGTTATGCTAATGCATATTGTGTCAGCTGATAGGAGGGGCTGTACAGCATTAAGTCTTTCACATCAAAGGTTAGGTTTATAAGGAACTGCAGTACCTAAAAATTTTACTGTTTCTTTTCTTTATACAGGAAAATACTGGCTTGAGTTCAATAGGTGTGAAAACAAAGTAGATTTTTTGCCTGTAACCAGAAACCAAAGTGCCTCTGATTAAATCTTATGATTTACCACATATTTCTTTAAAAAGTAATAAAAAAAAATGAATCATCTCTTGAAACAAAAGTATGGTTGGCAAGTGGCTCTGGCATCTGCCTATTCTTGGAGTGTATCCAGGCCACAGACAGATCCCATTACACAGATATATTAAAGACATTTAATGTTTTTCATTACAAATACTGTTTGGCAATTATTCTTCATAGCTCGATCAGGAAAATTGGAAAATTGGTTTCATTGGATGACACAATGGAAGAAGCCAAGAGACAACTGGATGAATAGTGAACTTAAACTCAGTCTGAGACAGGTGAAGCTAGGTGCTCTTTCAAATTAAATACATCAGTTTGTTGGATAGTTTCAGCAAAGCCTTAGGCCTGCCTTCTGGTTTGTGCCATATTATTGTGCAAATTGAACTGTGGATTGTACCTATGAGATGGAGATGATTTGAAATTTTTAAAAAGTACTTGATGAGAAACAGACAATATATGCAAAAAGGTTGTCATTCTTTACTGAAAAAAGGGCTCCTTGCACAAAACAAGCATCATGCTATTTTTTCATAGAGCAGCACAAGCTCATAAAGTGTAGTCAACTTTACATAATTGCTTTCCACTGTGAATGCAGCTATTAATCCTATCTTGTTGACTTACTTTTCTGGAAGGTGGCTCAGCTGAAGCAAATATTAGAACAACAAGCAAATAATTTCAAGGAGTCACTGAAGAAACATAATCTACAGTCCAACAAAGAAAAAGAGAAGCTTTTGCAGGACCTTCAAAACACCATTAAAGAAAACCAAAATGTTAAACTGCAGTTGGAGGCATCACATCAAAAAGTCTTAAAAATGTTGGAGAAAAGCAAGAATCAGGAACTCAAGGTCAGTTTACTACATACTAATGTTAAAAAATACATATATTTATGGGGTAAACAATCTAAGTGAGAGCCAATTATCAAAACTCAGTTATCTCCAATTAGTTTAATGATGGGTTGCTATTGTTGCACATAATTAATTATTCTGTGATTTTGAAACCTCCTCATTATCAGGCTGGGAGGGGTGGGTTGGTTGGTGGTTTGTGGGATTTTTGTTTTGTTTTTTAATAATTTCAACATTTTAACTTAGACAACATTGTGAATATATTATAACCTACAGTTAGGCTGTAATGAATCCAAGCTCCTTTATCTGTGCACCTGCTTCAGAAATACAAGGGAACTCAGGAGTGTATTAATAACAGGACTCAGTTTTATTATGTTTCATCCATTATTAATTTATACATAAATATTTAAGAAGTATAATAGACACATATAGTGATGTGTATTGCCTTATATACCTTCAAGAAATCATTTCAGTAACAGGATAGCCAAAGCTTTTAAAGGTCCAAGTGAATTTATTTCAGTGACGAAATGTTAATGCAATATACTGAAGTTCTAAAGACTGTTGCTGTCCAAGAAAAAATCAACTTGAAAAATGTACACATGATTGTGACATGGAGTTCAGATGTCCCTGTTGGTTCCCACAGTTTAGTACATTAACATATGAAACATAGGTAATAAAAACACCCTAAGTAGAATTTAATATCTTGTTTATATATTCCAAATAAAATTCCAGTTTTGACAAAACCAAGCTGAAGGCAGTGAGTTGGTGAGAATGAAACTGAGGATAGGAGTTTTGTTTCAGAGCCACTATCATTTGCAGAGCTCCATCATTTGCAGTGTACCAGCAGTACTTCTAATGACAGTGGAAGTGTGACCCAAGAGTGATTCAAGGAAAGATAGATGCCTTTGTCTGACACACTGTGATAAGTAATGGCAAACAAGTCAAATCTGGAGGCCTTTGTATGATGAAAAATAAAACTTTCTTTCTAATGTCAAATAGTGCAAAGATATCAGTGTTATTACTTCACCATGCTCAACGAATCTAAGAGGTGATACACTGATAATTTATCTTGTACCTATTAAGTGTTAATTTTCAACTTCAGCTCATTTTTATGCTTGCATTGATAAAATGTCTTGTAAAGTGCTGATGAAAATTAAAGTTCTACAATGAAAGGCCAGATTCATCCTAGCATTACAAGCAAAACAGCAATCTGATAAACAGGCTCCAACTACTTTGTTTTGGGGGGACTTTTGCTTACAGGAGGCAGAAGAACGTTTGAAAAAGGAATTTAATGAGACTTTGAAGATCCAACATCAGTCTCATAGGCTGGAAATACAAACCTTGGAAGAGAAAGCAAAGAAAGAATTACATGATGAACTTGAGCAGATACAAAAGCAGCAAACCCTGTTGCTAGGTATAGTGCCTCATGTCTTGCACAGTTCCTACTGCTTGATTATATATGTGCTGAGAACCACTGACTTTCATCCCATTCATTTTCTTTCCCATTTTTTGGGTGCTCAAATCTTTGTTAATCTCTTATTTCATACCCTGCAATTTCAACATTATAATCTTAATATTCTTTGTTAACCAAGCTTTCAATTGTCAGCAGCAAAATGTTGCTGAGAGAGTAGTATGGTGTACAGCATTCAAGTATGCATTATCAGGCATGTTAGATTGGAAAATTATAATTAGTTTCTGTGATTTTACTCTTCTTTTTCTATGTTGAGATGAATTTTTATATGTCCTTCAAGTCTGCTCTATTGAGTTCAGCAGTGGAGATCAGTTGCTCCCTATGTACTGTTTAGTCAGTTTCAAAAGTGCCCAAAACTGTTTAGAGCTAAACAGAACACTGCACTAGCAAGATGTGTAATATCTCCAGGTTTAATCTCAGGTTATTAAAGCTCATCTATAAAATGGGGGTTTTTTTAATTAAATAAAGAATAATTTGAAAGTATTTTACATACAAACTGAATTTTATTCTTGGAGTTTTTTCCACCAGTAGTTAAAATTTGCTAGAAAGATTTCTTGCTCTCTAAAGTTTATACTTTGAATAGATAGATTCTCTTCTTCAAGAAAAATTGTAGGGAGACAACAGAAATAAAAACTTTTTTCTTTGTGTACTTGAAAAACTTGTACCTAATATACCCAAAAGTTGCAGTATATGACAGGTGAGCTTGAATAAGTGTTGTACTTCTCTAACACAAGCAGAGCTTTCCTCAGTCTGCATTATGGCCCTCTGTAGAACACCAGCTGAATTAACAGGGAAGCTGAGGGGTTCTGATCTTCAAGATTAGAAGAAACAATGGTGGTGATGTAGTCTGCAATACAACTGCCACAGAATTACCTCTCTGACTCTGATGTGGACTCATTGCTTTTGTAGCTCCATATCACGTTGCTATTGCTCAGGTGAGTTACCTCTCTAGTAATAGGAGGCCATTATGCTTAATGGGGAAGGAGTTGAGGAACAAAGCAAAATGTAAGGAGTTAATGTTTTCATCTACATTCCCTGTATCTGCCTTCCCCATCCAGCTGGCCTCTGACTGCCTAAATGACTGTCTGATTGTTACTAGGATCTCTAAGGATGGAACTCTCCGAGCAACAGACATCATGCACAAACCTAAAGAAACAAATAGAAGAACTACAAATGGAGCTGAGGAGTGTGAGGACACTGAAGAAGCAACAGGCAAGCGACCAGTTTGTACTTCATTGCCATGCTGTGTTTAGCAAAAGCAATAGTATCAAATTTCTCTCTCCAGTGATAAAAAAAGTCTCTTCCAGAAATGGAATGGGTTTTCTGCCTTTACGTCTCACTTGTGTTTATAATTTTTTACCCTGTAGGCAGGCTTTTTCTTTCCTAGTAAAGATCTGAATTTACAAAAGAAGTAAATGACTGAATGTTACAATAAAATAAATTCTGTGGAGACTATAGAATATATTCAGGAACTTTTGATCCCTGATTTTGTCTTGCACATATGTAGCATGGCACATATAACTGAAAAATCAAATCACAAAAATGCAATGCACACAATTCCAGGAAGATATTAATATTAAAAATAAGAGTCTGTGAATAACTAAATGTGGCCTTTTTCTTAGGAAGGAAGTAGCCAAAGCCAGATCAGATCTCTTCACGATGAACTGGAAAAATGTCAGAGTGAAATTTCTGAACTCAAGAGAGAGAATTTACTTTTGAAGGACACAATGGAGCTGCTCAGTGCTGAGTTGGAGTCACAGAAGCAAGAAGCTGCACAGCTTCAGGACAGAGATAAACAGCATAGAAGGTTTGCCTTGAATTCACACTTGACAGTGCTATCTAGAGATTCAATAATAATGCCAGAGTGAGTGGTGTTGTTCTAAGTGTGATGCATGTCAGAATCTTTCCTTTCTAAAGTACTAATTTTAGAAGCTAGGAATTTTGCAAAATCAGTAGTTCATTTCACATTTTCCTCCAGCCATAATAGATGCATTTGAACTAATTGTTCATTATATGTTACAGAAAAGTATGTCTAGTGTATCCCCACAGGAGTGACCTAAGAAAATGTGCATAATGTCAGCCTTTCAAAGGCACTGGAGGACATAAATCCCAAACTCACCGAAGAGCTATTAAAAAAATATTAAATATTAAAAAAATCTGAGAATAAATACCAGGTTTTTATACGTACTCTGTAGCTGAAACCAATGGACTGTAAATTCAAAGGGGACACTTGAGAATGTCATATATTCCCTGTAAGAGTTTGCTTTGGCTGTAGCAGTCAGCTTTGCATTGGGGAAGTAAGGGCAGTGCCAGTGGATACTGACAGTGCCTCTGGGCTGATGGTGAGCCTGCTACTGTGAGAGGCTGTCAGGGCACAGGAAAGGCAAGGTGACTTGAGTCTTGGCCATCTTGTAGAAGGTAAACCATGTCTTAGTGTAGCCACAGGCTCAGCACACGTGGTGCAAATGGGTCTTCCCTTTTCTGTTCAGGAAAAGTGCAGGATCCCAGGATCAATTAGGCTGGAAAAGACCTCTGAGATCATTGAGTCCAACCTTTGACCAAACACCACCATGTCAACTAGGTGCCCATGGGCCATGGCACTAGGTGCCACGTCCAGTATTTCCTTAAACACTTCTGGGCAGCCCATTCCAATGTCTAATCATGCTTCCTTTGAAGAAATTCTTTCTACTAACCAACCTAAACCTCCCCTGGCATGACCTAAAAGGAGACAAGACTGGGTTCACTGCCCACTGCATTTGTATGGCTGTTGAATCCTTTGAAATTTCTGGATGAACATACTTAACACATTCTCTTTGTAGAGAGACTGAGGCTTCTGGTGTGTGGGTACCTTTCAATTAATTTTTGCAATGGTGTAGAATGGCCCCTAACTGCACAAGCTGTATATATAAAAGAATTTCTGAAGAGTATGCCCTTAAAGGAATCTTTAAAATGATGGCCCATATAGTCCAGAGAAAAGCACTCAACAGATAGAATGTCTCTCTGCAGACTGTCAGAGTGGCCAGAGTAACTCCATTCCTGTCTACCAGTCAGTAGATAACTTTTTTTTTTTTTTTTGCCATTGCACTCTTTGGAGAGTTACTTCAAAGTGAATTTCATTTCAAGCTTTTGAAGCAAGATCAACAGAGAGAATTGCAAACCAGAGAGTTTCATTAATGCCCTCAAGCTACCTTGAAGGAATTTAGAGCTTCTGTTCATGAAGAGAAGAATTATTCACGTGTCAGTGCTGAGGTCTAAAAGGCCTCAAATGCTAAGGCTGCTGAGCTGGAGGATTTTCTTTACAGGAGTGAATGGTGTAGCTCTACTACAATAAGCATTTGGGAAGGAAGCATTAATGGAAATTATGTAAGGAGAAACCCTTCCAATAAATGGAGGTAGGACCAAAGCACTGAAGTGGACCTCGGTGCCTGATTCAGGCTGCTCTGAAATTAACCCATGGAAGACTTGAAAAACTAACTTGCAGCTCTTGTTTTGTTTTTGCCAGACTAATAATTTGTGTAGGGGAATAGTTAAATTGGTGCATATAAGTAATTGCTATTTTTACTTTTAACAATAGTGCCCCTGTCTTATGCCAGTTTCTTTTCTGATTTGAAAGCTGATAGTGGCTCGTTACTTGCATGTGACAAATTTTTATAACAAATTACTTAAAATTACTTAAAATTACTAGTCCTACTCTTGCCAAGTAAGTGAAACCCATAATCTGCTTGAAGCAACAATTCCTCTTTCAATTCTCTTGAATTGTGTGAATTCCACCTCCAGTACAAAAAGCTTTTACAAGGATGAGGATAAGAGCAGACAAAGGTGGTTTTATGGGAAGAGAGAACAAGTCCACAAATGGCTCTTCTGAAGGAGCATATTCTACTCCTGAATATTAATTTCAAGGAATCCTTCTCCATTTTTTACCCTTATTCTTCTGCTGCTTATTTTATGCTAAGTGCCAAATTAGTCACTTCCATGGCTATGCTCTGATATCAAGGGGAGAAACCTTTCATGGACCTTTTGGTCTTTCCTGAAGCCTTTCAAAAACAAGTGAAACAGGATTGGGAATACATTAAAAAGAAGATGGGGAAAATGAAAGATAAGCCTAATGTCTTTTGTGAAAATTGCAATTGTTAATATGCTGAGTTGAGCATGTGTGTTTTAATTAGTAAACCATAGAACATGGGCTCTCTATTGAGTTAATGAAAAGGTTTCTCCAAGTAATGGCAAACAAAAATCAAACTATGATTCTTCAATAGATGCCTATTGCTTTTGGGATTGGTATTAGAATGCAGTGTTATGGTTAGACTTAAGAAAATATTAGACATTTTTTAGTTTTCAGTTTATGGTCTTAATCATATAGCAGTATCTTCCAAAATATATTGTGTGAAAAGATTAATGTTATAGTTAAAAGCATTTTTACAACACTGATAGGCAGTATGTAGTGAAATATATCATGAGAGCCTCATGTTAAAATGCCAGATATTTCAACATGATTTTGCTTAATACAAATAAGTTCCTATGGTACTTTGTTGTCATGTTTTATCATTAAAATTGATGTACAAACTAACCCTAGACAGAATATCAATAGCACCATTATATGGAATAGATCTTCAATTTCCTGAAGGGTGAAGGTCAAGTACTTTTCAAAATAATTTTTCTCTTCCTCAGTGTTAAAATATTCCTTCTCAGATTGCAACCAAAATGTCAGTCAAATCTATAGGCAGGAGCCAGATCTTTGCCCAGTTAACTACCTTTGCAGTCAATAAAACTCCTCAAAACTGCATGCTTTGATCAATGATAACAAACTAATATTGAAACCTGAGAATTCAGACATATTTTAATACCAATGAAAGGCTACTGGTAGAAGACCTCAATATCAAGCATAAAAAAGAACTGGACGTACTGAAAGGAGATCACCGGAAGGAAATTGAAAACATAGTATCTGATTTCAGCAGCACTCAGGCACATCTCCAAGCAAAGATTTTCTCCTTAGAAACTGCGTAAGTAATTTAACAATAAACTCTGGCTCACACTGGCAATGGGTTCTGTTTGTATTTATTATTCTTAGTACATACAGTTTTTTATTAATCATAAGTAAAATATTATAAGGATCAAAATAGAAATGTATAGGTATTGTCTTTGAAAACCAAAAAGACACAGCCACATTGTAATAAATTCTGGGTATTGTTTAATCTAAAGCACTACACATGAAATTTTACAATGCTAAATTAAAACTTGCATGTAGGATCTAGAAATTCTATGAAGTGTAAAATCATCTGTGTTACCGATGATACCAGAGGCCTTGATCCATGAACTTGTACTTAATTTTGTTCAGCAGAGCAGCATCTTTGAGTAAAAGCTTCTTAACATCATTCTCACTCCCTTAAAAATTTCCAGGGAAAATGATGCTCATGTAAATAAATGCAGTTTGCAGTCCGCTGTGGATTTAAGAAGTTCTGTGGTTCTTCAGATTTAACAGGAGAGACCCCTCAGAAATAATCCCTTATATATAGCCCTCCATCTTTTCTCTTATTCCAACTGTTTAGAAGCAGCAGAAGTCCAGAAGAGAGACTTGGCATGTAAGCAGGCCTCTAACATTTAAACCTTTCAGATGTAAGGATTTATCTTTTTATTTTAACTCAGAGATAATGCTAAGATAATAAGAGTCAGGGGTGGTCTTCTCAAAAATGTTTACCCACACAATAAAAAAAAAGAAATTTAAGGAATTTAAAAAGCTGAACTCAGACTACAGGTTTTGACTCAGCAGGTTTAATAAAGCAGCATGCATATGCAAGCCTGTCTTCATGAAAGTTACAGGAATTGAGTCATTCTAAGGATTCCAAAGTTACTGGGTCAGAAAAGAGAACAAATAGACGAATATAAATATGTATAGATACTCTGACACTGATTTCTTTCTTTAGGAAACTAGACTGGCAATATAATGTGCAAGCTTGTTACTATTTTACATAAGGGGCTGGATTTTACACTGGACAGGTGTTGTGGATTAACCCTGGAAATTTATTTTGGAACTCCATAAGATTCTATACCTCTACATAAACCATGTACAGATGCCCATTTTATAAAAATCCAGTTTTATTGAAAAGGCCTGGCTGTGTCCCTGTATTTCAGGCTTGGAACATAGGGCAGAGTACATCCAAGGTTTCTCTTGAACCTAACCTGAGGGAGTTTTATTCTGGTCTGCATTTTTTTCGGTACAGACTTAAAGAATTAGAAGAAAAGTCAAGAAAGTGGGAGTCCAGGCCTGAAGATACACACCTTATAAACTGTCTGCAAGACAAATTAAGTGAGAGAGAAGAGATTATCAAGCAGCTGGTGGTAAGACTGCTTTTCATATGGACATAGGTGTTTTGGAATCTATTGCGAGGCTCTATTCAGTGCTTCACACATTGCTTCGTTCTGGTTGTTTCTTTCTGTTCTGGAATTCTTTGACAAATGTATCTTTCCTTACCAGCTTCCAACAGATGCGCGTTTTCATACACATGACTCTGTTTCCCTTCAGGAAGGAAGAAAATGTCAGCATTCATTTTCAGCCAACACTGAATCTTACAGGAATCGGTCATTTTCTTTCAACCCTAATACAGCATGCCTGACTCCCTCCATGAAGGTAAGATGAGCAGTGCAATTAAAATCACAATTTTAATTTTGTGATAGTTGATTTTGATATTTTGATATCAAATTTTGATAGTTTGATATAAAAATATCAGTAGTTTGATAGTTTTATTCCTAATTTGAATAAGTATTTTTGACAGTTTTATTACTATTTGAATCATATCAGGACAATAAAAATGCTATCCATTTTTTATGATGATGTTATTCAGTAGAATTCTTTCCAGTGCCAACCTACAGTCAGTTGTTGAGCATAGAAGAAATTAATTAGAAGTATATATGCAACATAGCTTACAGGTGTTTAAGCCAATATAAAACACTAGAACTCTGACATCAGTCTTCCATTGGGATAAGCATAGCCATTGCTTGCAGATTTGGGAGTTGCTAATTGGAATATTGCATGCAGTGAGGAAAATTGGGAATCTGTTTGAGTTGCAGTTGGTATCTGCCCTTTGTCATTCCAGCCCCTCTGCACGATATTTCTACAAATAGCCATAGAAAGAAGGGAGGTCAAGTTGGTGGAAAGCACCTTGATGTGTCTAAAATCTCAGGGTCAAATACATGTTGTTTTAATTGGATGACAAAATCCATGGATACCGCATACCCTGAGAATTTAATTTAAATGCCTATAGAAAAAGATAGAAATCTTCCTGTTTGGGTGTTCCTCATAAGGTATTTGGGAATGAGATATTGTTAAAGTTTCATAGAATAAATTATAAAAAATGTGTATGTAATGAAGTTTTCTGTTACAATAAGAAGCAGAAGAAAAAGATTGAGGTGCCCAGTCGTGTTGTCAGTGTTCCGAATTTAGCTTCCTACGCAAAGAGCTTTTTGAGCTGTGACTTGAGATCAAAAAGAAGTGCTCCTCAAATAACAAAATCTACAAGCTTAGACCGGAGTTCTGGCTGCCTCAGGGTGGGCTCTCCATCAACACAGTCCTCAGACAGCAGTGCTGCCACAAGGTACTTGTCCATTTTGCATGATGATAAATGAATTCATATTTAGAATCTTGTAGGCATTTCAAAGACATTTGACATGTAGAAATACACAACAATGTAAGGTTCCTACTGAGCAGTGAACTCTGTGTGTTTGGTTTTTTTCAGACAGATCCAGAATTTTACTGCAAAAGTGGGCTATAATTCCTGCCCAGCAGACCTTATGCTTGCAACCCCTCCTGGTAGGGGAAAAAAAACCCAAAACAAACCAGCCAAACAAAACACACACAGACACACACATACACAAAAAAAAAAAAAAAAAAAAAAAAAAGGAAAAGGAGCTGCAAGTATTTAACTAAGAATGTAGTTAATTTTGAACACGGCATCTTTCAGTGGTTCTGTTAAAGATGTGTGTCTTGTGTGTCTTCCTTCTTATTTTTATTGCCTCACCTTGCACTTGGTAGATGTGGATGGCATATTTTTATTTTAAGAGGTATTTGAATGAATCTAGGCTGATCATTTGGCAAAGATTAGAGATTTGAAAACTGATTATCAGATACGTCTTTGCTTTTTTTCTCTCTGAGGAGTTTAAATTCTTCAAATTTTTGAGTTATGTAAACACTGTTCAGTGTTTTATAACATAAACTCTCTCTTCAAGAAATACTTAAAAATGTACGTAGCTAATATACAGTTAAAAAATCCCAAACCTTACCACTGTATTTCAGGGCAAAATCCAGCCTTCTCAGCTATCTCCTGGTGGAGATTTAGTTACCCTGTAAATTATGTGCAAGAGAATTCTTTCCTTGGGGGCAGATGGTGCTGACTGCTGACAAAAACAACCTGGGACATAGGCTTAGATCCTGTTAGGCAATTCCCACTTCTTTAAGATACAAACATGCTGTGTCATGCCAGATGACTGCCAAGGCAAATGGGATTTCTGTTTTAGAGGGAAACAAATGCGCAGGGAAACTGAGGGTAGCTTGGCTGCTGCTCACTTAATTATTTTAAATCAATGATAAGTTGATTTACATTTAAATTTAAAATTTAAATTTAAAATTTAAATTAAAATCTATGATAAGTCCTATTTGCTATCATATGTTAAAAAAATCCTGAATGATGGAAATTCAGGGACTATGTAATAGGACTGATTATGAATGCCAGGTAGTGTTCAGATAAACCTTTCCATTTCAAATAGAACTTTTACCCAACATTTTAAATGCATAAATTGTATTTGGTATTTTTAAGAGTGAATTGCAGCTGCCATTCTCTGATTTTCAAGACTTCATATCCTTGAAGCATCCTTTTGTTTAATATTTTGGAGCAGTCAAGTTAAGAACTATGTTCAAATGTTTCTGCATAGCTGTTGAGCTCTGCTTCATGCTTTTCTTCACGTTACAGTCAGTGCTGCTAGGAGAGTTACCTGGCTGGCACAGATCCCACTAAAACTGTAGCTGGCACCTTTTGGCCTCATCCATTCATGTGAGCACAGAACAATTCATGGGATGATGAGTTTTTCTGGGAAAAGTATTACATGTTGATAAGATTGTAAGTAAGTAGGTTGGTGATGCTAATGCTTATTTGTTTGCACAGGACACATGGCAATGAACCACCACAAACCAAAGATGACCAAAAACAAGACCCTCAGCATCAGGAATGGTTTACTAAGTATTTTTCATTTTAAAGCAAACTATTTCCATACTTCTCAGAATTACTATAAAAGTAATTCCTGTTTTCTTTTTAGGAATGATAATCCAATAGATGATTTAAGGGAAGAAAAAAAAAAGTAATTTCTAAGTTAGGAAATACCTGCACTCTCTTACATCTAGTAACTATGGAGTTGCAGGCATTAATTTCAGGAAAATGCATTTTTTTTAACAACTTCTGTAAAAAAATGAAGGAAAAGTTTGGATACAGCTATGTGAAAAGACTTTTTAATGAAGAGACTACAGTATCACTCCACAATTTCATTAAATATGGAATTTGGACTCTGATATGTTCTGTCAATTTAGCACCAGCTGAAAAAATATCTTCCTTCTATACATTTATATGCTTGCTTCATCAGCTCTTTAAAGTAAGTTCTGCATATAATAATGTAATTTTAAAAGTTTTTAATGCTTTTAATTTTAAGCTGTACAGCATGTAGTACACCTTCAAAAATAGCATGTTTATAGCAGAAATAATTTCTGGTTTGCTTCATGAACTGTTTTGTATATCAGCTATTGCTATGTAATATTCATGTTGAATTTCAATATATGTATCAGCCTGATAAATTAGGATGATGTGTAAGTATGAACATTAAAGCTTGTAAATCATCCAATTTCTGTGTTTTTCAAAAGACTTCTATGCTAATGCTGAAGTAAGTCAGACCTGTACACTGAGTTCCAGTGATGACAACTGCACCCTTGTACCTTTTAACTCCATACTAATTTTATGCCCATGTAAAAGCAAAGTGGGGGAATGACTACATTCATCAGGTCATGCTAATTCATTGCTGGTAGAAAAGAACCCATGAAGAAGTTGACTCTTGGGTAATTAACCCATTAAGTGTAAAAGGCAGGAAAATGTGCAACCAGCAGCCTGCTATTTAAGACAGGACAGTTCCTCTTCAATTGCTTTGAATCCCCATTTCATTTCAACCAACAGGGCCCAGCTACCTAAAAAAATGTTATACATGCAAAGAGGTGCACGTCCAGCTAGCCTCTTCTCACATCCAACAGCCAGCAAGAGCTGCACCAACAGATCACTGGCACTCACTTCAGACAAAACAGCCACTGCATCTCACTGGTGGTGCAAAGGTGGGAGGAAGGGCAGAACACTTCTACATACCAACACTTTTCATCCCAGTTATCCAATATTTTTTTCCAAGAGGAACTGCTTGGTTGGAAAAGTGACTTTGGCAGTAGATTTGGCAAAAAAGGCATTTTTCATACTTGTAATCAAGAAAGATTAATGTACAGAAACCCTGATGGTACGGTACCTTGGCATCTGTGAGGATGGAAATGTACAGCACTGTTTTCATTACTTTTCATTCACGCTGCCCCAATGACAATAGAAATTTCAATACACAATTAGCAATTCTTATTTCCAGGGTTACAACAATTAATTATTCAACTCTGCCCCCAAAAAAGTATATGTTGAAAAGTGGATGAATTAAATTTGTTGCTTCGTAATACACAGAAAGGACTCTTTTGCTACTTCTACTTCCAAAAGCTTTTTGGCTACATTTAACTCACTAAACAGAGCACTGCAATAGAAGGTAGTTCTGTATACTGGTCAGTGGTGATGATCCTACCTCCACAATGAGTGCTCTGTATTTTGGAGTAGGCATTTTGAAACACCTCTTTAGCCTGAGAGTCAGAACATCAGTAATATGAGGCCTACATTACATATCCCACTCTTTTTTATGTTTTTCCATTTCAGTTCATCCTATAAGAACGAAATTTGAATATCCCAAGACACTTTTCATGAGGTGAGCCAGTATGATGGGAGAGTGATGATTCACTTCAAAAAAAAGTGATCTGACCTACATACTGACAATTCTAAGAGTGTTTCTGCAGTGGTATTCATTAATAATTACTGGATCACAAAACATTTAAACATTCCAGAAAAATCAAACACTAAGCTTTGCAAATATTTTGATCATAACAAAAAGAGACAGGAGAAAGCAAGGGCCACCCTCTCTAGAAGGAACAGGATGCATTCTGGGATACACACTTCTACCAGAAAGCAGCCTGAACAGGAATTCTTGAGTATTTTCCATTAAAACATAAAACCATTCCGTATTTCTGTAATAAAAGAAAAGAAGAAAATGTATTTGGCTTAACTGTTTTAACTATATTTGCAGTACAAATTACATTATACAAAAAGCATACAAAGAACACCATTGCTTTTAAAATATTGAGTTGTGTAGAACTGAAGATTATGTTTGCTTCATTGGAGCAGGAATATTTGCAGATGCTTGTTCTAGGTAAGCTAATGGACCTTGAGGCATTTCTGCAGGCTTTTTGTGCTGTACGCTGATGTCTTCCAGGACCTGTTGCCAGTGTCGCAGTTTACTCAAATGCTTCTGAATTAATGCTTCTTTCCTCTGCAATTCATTTCTTAATTCTGAAACATCCTGTGGGGATGAAAAAATTGTGTATTAGTAAATAGACAGTATTGAAAAGGATAACCAACCCCACATAAAGAGCATGTAACTTTTTTAGACATTGAGTTTTTTGAGTAGAAAATGGAATAATGGAAAAGTGTCTAATGATACAGAGGGTAAGCACCGTGAATGCACTAGTGCTGTTCACCTATGTCAGAAATTTAAGAGATCACCATCCCCAGCAAAACCTGACTAACTAGTTTGTCTCTTCCAATGAATTATCAGCTGTGTTCCAATACTCCACACACCAGCAGGTATCCAGCTTCTCCAGGTTCATGATGAGACTTATAACAGCCAAGTTCTATCAACTTAAGGTACAGTGATGAAGGTACATAGCTTATCTGATCTAGCACAGGACAGGTAAATTAACATACCTCTTTAATTACTTGTTCTGGTTTCTGGACTGATAGCTGCAGTCTTTTTTGTAGAAAAAAGCATTCAGTTTGTCTTGCAACATCCAGAAACTTTTGGATGCACTGATCAACACCTAAACATATAATAACAACATTGAAAGAACAACTTCCAAAAAAATAAGATTTCAGGCTGGTAAAGGTAGTGGTCTATTAAAAACACTTTACACAGTACTTTCTAGAATGAAAATCTTCAGACTATCTAAAATAATGTATTTATAAGCCAGTAAGTCACACTGCTTTGCAAACGTAAAAGTTATTTTGTAAGTGCAGGCCAACACTTCCTCCCTTGTTTTATTTTATTTCTGACAAGGAGTAATAAAATAATTGAACTTGCTTGCATGCCTAAGTAGCAAGCTCAGTGTAGGGTTCTCAAATATGCACTTATTGAGAAGAATATTCTGTCCTCATATACTACACACTACTGTTTTGGTAATAAAAGCTGTTCCATGCCAGTACCTGAATATAATCAAATAGCCAGAAAGGAGTTTTTAAAAGCATTTATACCGATTTTGAAACGACATTTGAGTGAAGTTTTAGAAAATTTTCAGGGACAACTGCATTTCTAAGGAGTAGTCAAGGGCCACTTTTCAAACTCCTGTTCATACTAATATTTATTCCACCTCCACGGAGGTGCGTCACTCAAGCCCTAAAGCAGCTACTGAGCTGCCTGGCCCGGCCCTTGCCATGTCCTGTAACTGCTTCATTCCGCTTCCGAATGCATCACATCACCTCCCCGGTGCTCGAACGCGTTTCACTGCACGCCAAAACCGGCACACTCCGACCTTCCCACCGGACCGCGGGCATTCCCGGGTCCGCTCCTTTCCTGCCACCGTTCCCAGCAGCGTTCCAGCGGGAAGGGGAGGTGCCCTGCTCCTGCCCCGGGCTCACCGGTGCGGATCTCCTCCTGGTCCGTGCCGTTCACGTAGTCCTGGCTCACCAGCGAGGCGAAGCAGGCCTGCGGACAGGGAAGCACCGCGCTGAGCGGCTGCGGGGGGCCGGCGCAGGCAAGGCAGCGCCCGCCCGCGGCTGCCCCCCCTCACCTCGAAGGACGCTTCCAGCTCGTCCACCAGCGTGTTGTTGGGGTTGCGCGGCCCGGCGGGCGGCGGGATGAGGCCGGGCGGGCCGGGCGGGCCCGGCGGCGGCGGCCCCGGGCCCTGGGAGCCGAACATTCCGCCCAGCGCGCCCGCCATGGCGGGAGCGGCGGCCGCGCCTGCGGCGGGGGGGGGGGGGGGCCGGCGCGGCCCCGCCCGCTGAGGGCCGGACCCTCGGGCCGCCGAGGCGTGTGGGTCAGGGCATTGCTCCTCGTCCTGTCACTGGGCTCCACTGGAAAGGCTCTGGCACCATTTTCTTGGCACCTGTCTAAGATATTGTATTAATCCCTGCTTGGACTTCTCCAGACTAAACAGACCCAGCTCCTGCAGTCTCTCCTCATACGAGATGTTCTATACCGTCCATCCTCACAGCTCTCTGCTGGACCCTCTCCAGCAGCTCCATGTGTTTCTTGCATTGACCAGGCCAGAACTGGACAGAGCACGCCAGAAGTGGCCCCAGTAGGGCAGAGGAGGGGGGAAGGATCACCTCCCTCAAGCCGCTGGCCACACCCATCCCATCCACCCCAGGATAGCAGTGGCCCTGCTGGAACACGGCAAGCAGAGACAGCACAGCCATCTGCCCCCGAGGGACCCTCCTCCTCCAGCCTTTGCCCTGCCTGCGTCTCACAGGTGCGAGCCTGGGTAAGCGCTGCTTCAGCATCACTTGTCCCACAACAGCATTTAACAAAAACCCAACCTAAACCAAAATAAATCCCCACCTCATGGGCTTGGATCTCCCAAATTGTCCAAAAAACATCACCTCATGTTTTAAGTGTCAGGTCTGTTTGATGTTTTAACTGATTCTGGGAATAATATTCCTGCTTGAAGGGTGGCCACTTCACACCAGGAAAGAGGGGAATATCAGGATGACAAAAACCACGTGAGATAAGGGCAGGTCCCCCTAAAAAACACAAACACTAACTTGCACCCACTAGTTTTCTCAAAATATACACTTCTTGACATGTTATAACTTACTACATAATTCTATGCTGAAGCCATGCTAATGCTAATCACCAGCACAATTTCTGCCTCAGTAAATACCAAAAGCAGTTTAGTTTTTCTAAGGAAAAAATGCCAGAATGGTGTTTCTATGAAAAACTTTGCAGAGTTCCCATTGACACCACCTACAGTTCACTCAAAACTGAGGTACATCTATCATTGATTGTTTATTCTCTCTCAATCAAAACTCACATCCAAATAAGGTATTTATTGTTTACAACAGTTATGCATACTTTGCATATAAAATAGGTGTCTCAATAGTTCCCATTATCATGTTTTGGTATTAAATATTTCAGTAGTTCAAACAGAATAATTTTTGTTTTGCTGCATAATAGGGTAAGGGATGAAAAATCTCAAAGTTGAGATATTCTTTCCCAAGTAATATTTTATAAAATGCATTTTTAGTTAATTGCCATAGTGAAAATATGCTTGGGACATTCATTTATGAATGTATGATACCTTTTAAGATTTTTTTTCTTAAGGCAGAGTGGATGTTTTTAGAACAAGTATTTTTATTTGGCATTGTGACTGTCTTGACTTAATCGAGCTGCAAACTCCACGAGCGTTCTCGTGGGCCGCCCTGCCATGCCCTTCCGGAGATAGGGCACCTCATCTTTATTTGACATGACCCCAGCTATATCCAAATGAGCCCAGTGAGAGGCAGTCACAAATTCCTTCAGGAATGCAGCAGCTGTGCATGCTCCTCCAGCTCTGTGGGGAAACAGAAAGATGTATTGTTCCCAAAGCAATTCCAACAGCACACATATTATACAAATAGGTTGAACGAAAGGGGCACGTGGAAGGTATTGGTTCATCTTACCTGCTGTACTTTCCAATGTTGCTCACATCTGCAAGGGGACAGTCTGTGACTTGTTTTGTGTAATGCTCAAAAAGAGGCATCCTCCAAACTCTGTCCCCTGTCAAAATGCTGGCCTGAAAAAAACCCGATGATATTTTGGGAATGTCTTTTTCTAACTGCACTTGTAAGCCCTGTTTTCATGCATGCTTCTTTTTGTTTAGGTTTTACCAGTCTAAAAACCTTCAGCCCAAGATATTAGGTTAGTGGATATACACTGTTTGCAAAACAAAACAGGCAATCCTGCTTTTTAGGTACTTTAGTGTTAGCCATAAGGCAACATCAAAAAAACGTATTTTTTATCTGTTTTTCCTTTTTCCTGACAAGAGAAATCCTTTCCCTCAGAGGCTTCCTTGATCCACTGGACCTCAGCCACTCACAAGGCCTCTCTGAATTTCTGTATCCATGTTGTTAAGCAAGATCAATTATCTTTTTAACATGAACTAATTACTGCCAGTAGTCCAGAGTTTATGCATATGTAGTGAGTTATCAGAACATGCAGATCCTTAAGATGGTGTATGATATTACATCGCACTGAAGAGCTAGTAATTAATAGCCAACATTATTTTCAACTAAATAGAGTACTGACATCATTCCTCTAAAATTTCAAAACATAATAACATCTTTCAGATTTGCATACAGACTTTCAGTAGTGTACTAACTTTTCAATAAGACATATCACTGAATTACTATTATGATTTAACAATAATGCAGGTGACCTACCTCATAGAGGTGAGTCCAAAGCCAGGATGAATTTGTGAACACTCCAGTTGCAGCAGATCCCAATGCAACATCCATGGCACCTAAAGAAACACACCTCCAAGTTTATATGACAAAGGCAAAGGTGGACCTGAGCTATTCCTTGCATCCTAACTCCTCAAAGAACTTTCCATTTTTAATTCCATTATCAGTAACAGGAATTTATCAGACTGCAAAACTTGAAGACTAGTATACTGACATTTTTGAAAGTCTGAACATCTTTAGAACACTTATATATTCTAAAAAACCATAAGAAATCATAAAAATTATATTGTTTTCCATGAAACTAAACTTTCTGGTTTCAGATTGATGTTTCTTAGAAATAGTTCTAAGATAATGTATTAAACAATAACAGTATCCTCTTAAAAACCATAGTAATTATTATTTTCATATAGAAAATACAAGTGAATGGGCTTTTTCCAGTTTATAGGCCTCTACAATTTTTGAGCTGATACTTTCTCTTTTGTGAATTTCACTTACATAGACTTATGCACATTATGTGTAATTTTACTCAATTAAACATTTAATTTATTAAAATAATCCTTATCAAAATATTAAACCGTAAGATTAGATATTTATTATTTGATGACCCAGAACTGCTTATCTAATACCAACACTTAATCCTTAGTGAGATGAAAAAGAAAATAACAGTAGTTTAGCAAAATATGTCAAAGAAATTTCTATGGGAGCCCTCCTTCTTCCTGTTTGGTGCCCAAGGATCCCAGACAGGAATACTTTTATACAAGCCAACAATCTTAAAATCAGTTTCCCTTCTGTCTATTGAAATTTTCCACAGCATTTGAACTGGTAAAACTGATGGAACATAATTTAAGGCATTAGCAGAGAATCTATATAAGCATAATTATTTTGCTTAGCATATTAATTAAGCAACAGAGTGAGTCCTGTCTGAATTACTCTTCCGTGTTTGCTTTTATTGCAGCTACAGTCACCTCACCCATGACAGCTTGTTAGTGAGTTCATGCATACAAAATTGCTGGTTTTAAATTTAAATTTACAACTGTAGAGATGAAACAATTAAAACATATTTCATAATGCCTAAAAGTATGCAAATTACACAAAAAATACTTCAGTCAAACGAATTCCTGAGGAATGATGACGACTCTCCTGCCATCATGGAGCCAGCCCAGAGAGTGGGAGAACTGGCACTGGCTGGGTCAGAGCTCAGGCACCCAGCAAGGCATTCAGGAACCTGTCTGGGCTCCAGCGTGCCAGATGGACTGGGCAGGACTCTTCCATGAGCATGTCACCACCTCTGCATCACACAGGCCTGGGAGCTGAGAGGGTTCAGCTCAGAGATGGAGGAAGCACAGGGAAACACTGCACAAGCACTGAAGCCTGTGTAGGTTTTCCTGCTCTTGGCTCCAGCTGAGCCAACCCAACTTCATCTCCACTGCTGAGCATGCACCCTGCACGTCCCCTCCCCACTCCAGAGACACATAAGCTGTGCTCACTGCTGTCCTGAAACAAGTAAAATAATCTCAGTTGCCTTTGAATTAAGGTGGGGTTTATATACACAGCACAATTAATCCACAGCCCAACTAATCAGTAACACAAAACTGACTTCAAAGTGAGCAGGGAAGGGACACTGCTTACCTGTTAATGTTGCGGCATTCACAATAGCCCTTGCGTTAAAATTATGGGCATAACAGAGAGCATCAGCTAACAGCAGTCTTCCTTCTGCATCTGTGTTATCTACCTTCAAAGGCAAAATCAGTAAAAAACAGATAAAGTACTGTAAACATCTCTTTCACTGATGTATTTCTCGCATATGTTAAACAGCTGTTGGATAGAGACCCTAGAAACTTCAGGTAATGAAAATTTACTCAAACTACACTGAAAAAAAGAAAGAAAAAATATAGTATTGATATACAGTTGTGTGTAAAAGCATGTCTGTGGCTGAGGTAAGTCATCCTTCAGCACTTCAACCTCCTCTGCATGCTGGGTGTCTGTACTGCTGGCTCCTCAGAAGAGCCTGGAGACTGGACAGGTGTCTCAGGGGAGCACACAGGGTGCATCATGTGCTTGGAGCTACCAGCACTTTCTTGCAGATTTCTTCTTGGTGGGGGAATACATGCCCAGTCTTTTTCCCTCAAAGCAGAGGGTGACTGAACTCAGTTTTCCGAGATGAATGTCAAAGAAATGGAAGGTTCAGCAAGTCAAAAGTGGCAGAATCACAGAAATTCAGACAAAAAGAAAGCCGTCTACTTCTGCATTAAATCAATGATCTACAGCACAATGGCTTTCAGTACAATTTAATCTATTAGATGAGTATGGAACCATTTGTAATATATATGAAATATGTATCTTAGGTACTGATTTGGCAAGCTCCTTTGAACCAACAGCCTCTATGACTCAGAGTTCTGATTGTACTGAGCATTTTGGCAGTGTAAAGACCGTGGTTACATCAGCAGGAAACTGATGTCTTACTTTGATGTCCAGATAGCAAGGAATTCACCTCAAGAGTCTGCTGGAAGCAATTAAAGTTATTTATTTGGACTTAGAGCCTGAATTTATGAGCATTGTAACAACCTCTTGTGCCAAATGAGCTATTCCAGCATGCTCAATAGATGACCTTACTTTGCAGCTTTTCCTAGCAATTTATAAGACACGTCCCAT